TACTCAATTCATCAGGTACAGTACTAAGGCCCCCGCTGACCAGAGCAGACAGACAGCAGAACAAGGGTGTCTTCAGGGCATGAGAATCCTCTCTCCATACACCCTCTCCCAACCCACTGTTTTCCTGAGAGAGGGAGTCTGAACTCTCCTGTCTCATTTATTTATCAGGAGCTTTCACTCTCTGGACCAGTGCTGCTAAACTTTAATCCATAAAAACTTCATTATGTCTTCAACATATTTGTTTATTTATAAATAATATGTATGTACCACCAAAATTCACATTATAAAACCTGCGTATAAAATAGACTTTTTTTTCACCTCACATATTTATATATGTATATGTATCTATTTTTTGGAGGATGAGCATATTTGAGTTCTACTATCTTAGCAAATCTTAATTATACAATACAGTGTTATCAACTATAGTCACCATGTTTTGCATTATCCTCAAACCTTATTCTTCTTGAGCTGAAGGTTTGTATCCTTTTACCAGCCTTTCCCTATTTCCCCCTCCCCCAACCCCTAGCAACCACTTTTCTACTCTCTGTCTCTATGAGTTCGACTTTTTTTTTTAGATTCCACATACAAGTGAGACCATGCAGTATTTGTCCTTCTCTGTCTGACTTCTCACTTAACATAATGCCCTCAAGATCCGTCCTTATTGTCCCAAATGGCAGGATGTCCTTCTTTCTCAGGGCTGAATAAATTCCACTGTATACACATACCACACCTTGATCCATTTGACTGCTGATGGACACTTAGGTTGTTTCCATAGCTTGGCTACTGTAAATGATGCTGCCCAAAATAGGCACTTCTAAAGTATCAGTTAAAATACTAATGTAAATAAAAGTTCTAATATTTTCTTCCTGCCCCACCCACCGCTTTGCAGACCACAGCTTTAAATCAGACAAGGAAATAACCCAGCTGCCTGCAGCTCTTGCTAACTGTGGTTTCTGATTCTGTATCTCCAGGACATGTTCACATCACAGACTTCAACATAGCGACGGTCGTGAAAGGCACAGAAAAGGCTTCCTCCATGGCCGGGACCAAGCCCTACATGGGTGAGTATTCCAGATCCCCTCAGGCCTCAGCATTCCTCTCCTGCTTCATCTCACCCCTCCCTCGCCCACCTCCCATCCCCTCACCAGACCCCAAACCATGCCCAGTATGTGCCGTGCTCTGTCACACCTTTGGCCCTTACCTAAGCTGTCTCCCCTGCCAGAAAGACCATCTCCTCCTGTGTTTTCTAGAGAACTCCTACTCAGCCAGAAAGGTTGGCTCCAGCTTAGGGAAAAACAAACAAACAAGTAAACAACAAACCCTTCTTCTTTTTCCTTAAAGTCCAGTAGTGTTGCCAGAATACAATTTTGGTGTTGGTCATTTTGGATCTATATTCTCAGGTACACAGTGCTCTTGCAATGTGGTTTCAGGTTGGTTTTTCTTTAGGACTTTTCATGGAAATGTCATTTTTTTTAGTACACATTCTTTTCCTTTACTTTTTTTGTTAAGGATGCCTATTATCTGAATGTTGGGTCTTCTTTGTCAGTCTTCAATATTTGCCATTTTCAAATCTTTCTTATCTCTTTCATCCTATGTTTAAATTTTTTCTCATTTTTTTTCTTTCTCTTTACTTTAAAGCATTCTCTGTTGCGTTTATTTGCTTTGTGTACTTTCTAGTGAAATATTTATTTCTGAAATAATTTCCCTTTGTTTCTAATTTTTTTCCTGAGTTCTTTTGCCAGATTTCTGAGTATTTAAATTATTTATGTGTTCTTTCATGTCTTGCATAATTTTTAAATGTCTATATTAGTTATTAATTCTTAATGTCTATATTAGTTGTCAATTGCTATATGACAAACCATGTCAAAACCTAGTGGCTTAGAACAATAACAATTGTATTATCACAGTTCTGCCACTTGATTTTTTTTTTAACATCTTTATTGGAGTATAATTGCTTTACAATGGTGTGTCAGCCTCTGCTTTATAACAAGGTGAATCAGTCACACATATACATATGTTCCCATATCTCTTCCTTCTTGCATCTCCCTCCCTCCCACCCTCCCTATCCCACCCCTCTAGGTGGTCACAAAGCACCGAGCTGATCTCCCTGTGCTTTGCGGCTGCCTCTCACTAGCTATCTGTTTTACTTTTGGTAGTGTATATATGTCCATGCCACTCTCTCACTTTGTCCCAGCTTACCCTTACCCCTCCCTGTATCTGCAAGTCCATTCTCTAGTAGATCTCCATCTTTATTCCCATCTTGCCCCTAGGTTCTTCTGACCATTTTTTTTCTTTTTTTTTTTTTTAGATTCTATATATATGTGTTAGCATACAGTATTTGTTCTTCTCTTTCTGACTTACTTCACTCTGTATGACTGTCTCTAGGTCCATCCACCTCACTACAAATAACTCAGTTTCATTCCTTTTTATCTGCCACTTGATTGAGTGGTTCTTCTGCTGGTTTTTGTTGTGGTCACTCATTCAGCTGCTGGGTCAGCCAGGACAGCTGAGATAAATGGGCCCCTCTCCCTGGGTGGTCTTTCATATCAAGGGGACTAGAGAGAGCTTGCTCACATGGTGGCAGCGGTTTCAAGAAGGAGAACGCAACTCCCACGTGCCTATCAAGGCTCTGCTTGCTTTACATTTCCTGATGTCCAACTGGACAAAGCAAGTCACATGACGAAGACCAGGGACCACATGGGAGGGAACTGCACTGGTCATGGATACCAGGCAGCCTGATTCATTGGGGAGCCATTTATGAAACAATCCACCACACTGTCTTTTCTGAGGTGCTTTCCTTGTACAATGTTGTTCTGCTGTTTTTTCTCCTTTGGCTTATAACTTGACATGGAATTTGACTTTGATACTTTTCTGTTGCTCATTTTCACGTAATATTAGTTTCCCTGGACCTTTATAAGATGGTGTGGCTCAGGGTAGCTTTTCTAACAGACTTGCCTCTTCTGTTGTTTAAGTGACATGTCACATCCCAAGGCAGCTTGCTACCTGGGATTTCCTTGCCCACTTCCACTTGCCCACTTCTATCTGGACCTCCTCTTTCTTTGGTCTGAGGGGCCCCCTTCCTGCTCAGTTTTGATTTCATTCCCAACAGTTTCTCCCTGGGATCTTTCCTAGATGGGAGCTCTGGCTGGATCGATTAAAGCGATTTTGTGTCCCAGACTCTCCAGCTCCTGCAAAACTTACCAAGGGCCCTTTTCACTCACCTGAGATGGGTCTGGACAAGTCCCTCCCAGTTTCATCTGCTATTCTCAGGCTGGTCAGCTGTGCCTCCCAGTCAACGTCGGCTCACTATTTTGAATTCCCCTGTGCTCTGGTCCATCATAGGCTGTGTTATTATTTTCTTTGTTTCCTTCTGTACAGAAATCACTGCCATGGAGGGTTTGTCACTGTTGCTGGTTTGTTCCCACCTGCTTATAGTTTGGGGTCTGGGGGGACAACCTAGCTTTGTAGTAAATATTGCCCATGGTTTTTGGTTTAGCTATTTATCTGCTCTGCCATTGTTTATAGGTGGATTGTGGAGATTCAAAAACTATGTCGTCGTCTCCCCAGAATGGACTCCTTGTGTCCTTCATCTTTAACTTACTAAATAGATTACATAAATGAAGTTTGGCAATAAATAATGGTAAAAACAATACTTTTTAGTATTTACTATGTGTGTGCCAGGCATTCCATCCATAACCTTATTTAATCCTCACAAACATGAAGTAGGTGCAATTCTTTATTCCCATTTTAGAGTTGAGGAAATGGGCTGAGAGAGGTCGGGGGACCTACCCAAGTTGACCTTGGTGGTGAGAGCAGACCCAAGTCAGTGTGAACACCAGAGGGTATACAATGAGTGGGTCTGTCCATTTCACAGAATCCCCTTGGGATGCTGAATACAGACCTTAATAAGGCTTTCACTGTTGATGACCTTTCTGAAATCCCATTCCAGAAGGATCCAGAGCTGGGGCAGTTCTATCCAAGGAGGTCCTTGCTTTAAGATTCAACAGAGATCAGACATGGAGATGGAGAATGGCAGTGAAGGAGGGGATAAGGCTGCCTCCAGGCCTCTGAATCAAGCAGTAGAGGGGATTACAGTGATGATCACTGTGCAGGGAACACCGCAGGAGGAGCAGGTGTGGGGGACGGTGGGAAGGATGAATTTGAAAGTGAGGTCTGTAGGAACTTCAAGACATTCAGATGTACTCCAAGCAACTGGAGAGTGATGTGGACTCCACCTGTGCATGGGGAGTTACCAGCACGGAGATGCAGCAAAGCCACGGCAGTGACAGGATCCCCCAGGGAGGACACAGGAGAGAAGAACACCAATTCTAAGCCCAGGAGCATTTTGCCAGAAGGGGCAGGTAGAGGCCGGAGGAGTCATCATCTCCAGAGGGAGGATGGAGGAGAGAGGTGACATAAAAGAAGAATCTCCCAATTGGAGCCACCTCTATAATCCTATAAATTAGTTCCCACTGCCTTGAGGCTATTTCCAAAAAGCAAATTGATCTCTAGGAAAGTAGATTCTGGACCACTGGAGAAATTCAAGACAGTGTTCTCCCAACCCTGACCTTTCTGCCCCAGCTTTGCCACTGTTCATATCAGACTTTCCTGGGCTACCTCAGCCTCATGCCCTGGCTTCCCACTCATCTGTGACGCAGCTCTGTCCTGGCTCTCAGCCTCTGGGAAAGCAGACCAGGGTTGACCCAGAGGCCCCACTGTCAAAGAGGAGAAGAAAACCAACATGTATTTTGACCCTACCAGATGTCTGTCATTACATTTAATCCCCAGAAGATCCACATGAGAATTCTACATCTCTTTCATTTTATATATGAGTAACCTGAGGCCCATAGAGGTTAGCTAACCTGCCCAGAGTCACACAGCTAGCAAGTGATGGAGCCAGAATTTGAAGCCATGTCTATTTGGGTCCGAAGTCCATGCTTTTTCAAAAAATTTTTCTTGAAATAGAGTTGATTTACAGTCATTGGGTTAGTTTCAGGTGTACAGCAAAGTGATTCATTTTATATATACGTGTGTATGTATATATATGTATAAATATATAGATTCTTTTTTTACATTCTCTTCCATTATAGGTTATTACAAGATATTGAGGAGAGTTCCCTGTACTATATAATAGGTCCTTGTTGGTTATCTATTTTATATGTAGTAGCGTGTATATTTTAATCCCAAACTCCTAACTTATCCCTTCCCCCCCTGCCCTTTGGTAACCATAGTTTGTTTTCTATGTCTGTGAGTCTACTTCTGTTTTGTGAATAACTTCATTTGTATCATTTTTTTAGATTTCATGTATAAGTGAGATCATGTGATATTTGTCTGGCTAACTTCACTCAGTATGACAATCTCTAGGTCCATCCATGTTGCTGCAAATGGCATTATTTCATTTGTTTTTATGGCTGAATAGTATTCCATCATGTATATGTACCACATCTTCTTTATCCATTCATCTGTTGATGGGCACTTACATTGCTTTTGAAGTCCATGCTTTCGCCACTGTACCAAGCTGCCTTTTTGACACTGAGTTCTTGTATCAGAAAGTCACATTTCTCAGACAAGAAAAAAGTGTATTGTCCCAGCTGTACCTAGGATTCAGGGCTTCTGGTGTCCTTCTAATTAAAGGAGCTTCAGTCCTGAATTAGTGAACGAATGCACAGGAGAGATTTTTATGGGGTTTAGAGAGCACAGCTGATTTACCAAATGGATATATTTTCAGAGACTGTAGGGGTTGGCAGTGCCAAGCAGTGGGAGGTTGGTGGGGAAAATGGGGGTGAGAGGGAAACTCTCTCATTCAGGTCACATCCTGCAGTTCCCAGGGCTATACATTCCTGCTATCAAGTGGCAGGTTTGTTGATTTCGCTCACTTGAGCTGTTCAGTTCAAAGGCTCAATAACAAGTTCCCAGAATGTTCCAAACATGGATTCAGGGAACGGGCTGATGAGTAAGCTCCCAAAGGTTGCTCACGAAGGATGATCCCAGAAGAAATATTTGCATAGTACTGAATTTTCATTCATTAAAAGAGCAGATGGAATTCACCAACAGAGAAAAA